ATTCCCTTCCTTGACTCGGAGCCCCAGGGGACGGCAGACTCTCGCAGATTGGTGGAGCTGTGTGGGATGAGAACAGGACATTGTCTTTCAATATCTGCAGTAGAACTCATAGAGCTCGTCTGCCAGGCGGAGGGTCATTCAAGGAGTGGGGGGTTTTTGGCTTGTAGTTGGTGAGGTGTTTGAGGCCTCTCCAAACCGAAGCAGAGTCACTTGCTGAGAACTGTTGTTGGAGTTTCTCAGAGTACAGTCGTTTAGCGTCTCTCACCGCCTTGCTAAACTTGTATTTTGCCTCTGTGTACAAGTCTTTGTCCCCGCTCCTAAATGCCTGATCCTTCTGCAGGCGTAGTGTTATGAGTTCCGCTGTGAACCAGGGTTTGTCGTTGTTGTAACTCACCCTGGTGCATGATGGTACACAGCTGTCCTCACAGAAGCCGATGTAGGAAGTTACAGCCTCTGTGAACTCATCCAGACTGTCAGTAGCAGTCCTGAAACCATCCCAGTCTGTGCAGTCAAAGCACGCCCGAAGATCCTCCAGCGCCTCACTGGTCCACTTCTTGAATTCCCTCACCACAGGTTTGCAGAGCTTTAGTTTCTGCCTGTATGCAGGAATCAGATGGACCATGACGTGGTCAGAGAGTCCCAGTGCAGCACGAGGGACGGCGTGATAAGCCCTGCTGACTGTGGTGTAACAGTGATCCAGCGTGTTCTCCTCTCTGGTGGGGCATTTAATAAACTGTCTGTATTTAGGGAGTTCATGGGTGAGATTTCCTTTGTTAAAGTCCCCGAGGACAATAACTAAAGAGTCCGGGTTGGTCCGCTCCACACGCCGTATCTGGTCGGCGAGTGTCCGCTGAGCCTCGTGCACGTTGCCCGCCGGCGGCACGTAAACACCGACCAAGGGGAGGGGAGATGAGAGAGACTGTAGCAACATAACAGAAGTTAAAAGCATCACCAATAATGAAATATTTATCTAAATAAATCCATCAAAATCACTTCAAAAAGTGGAAACATAAGACATAAATCTTATGGAACCAGCCGTTTATGTTCCTAAAGGCATGTGTCTATTAAGGCTAAGATCTTTCCCTTTAACCCTCTGCATTGGGGGTCTATTTCTCTGGAACAATCAACTCTTCACTGACACACAAAGAGAGAGGCAACCAGGGGGCTGCAATAGTGTGTCCCTTCTCTTGGACCGGGGGCCTCGTCCCCGAGTCACTTCCCTGTCTCTGCAAGGAGAGAACAAAGTGTGTGTCAAGGTCTGAAAGCTCACTACGTCCAAATTTTCATGTTTTCATACTTCCGTCTACCACTCGCAACGCTTAACTTGAGAGAGCGCTTTTGGCACAGCTTACCGTTTCACTCCTCTGCCCGCTTCCTCCTTTCTCATGGTGTTTCTTTTCTTCAGGTTTTTGCCAGTTGCAACATTGTCGTGTCCATGACCTTACTAAACTTGTTTGTACAATTAGGGCAGTTTATGTTTTGCTAGTGCTGCTTTTTTTTTTCTTGTTTTCCTCTTAGTTTGAGTAGCTGACACAGTCTGGTATACCCAGTGGAAAAAGATGAATGCTGCATGGGCGCCTGGTGTACAATGTGCCAATGTGCCAAGGCTATTCAGAAATCGGAGGCCCAATCATGGAAATAATTGGTTATTTCTTTTGAAAGGATTCGGTCAAATTTCAGGCCGGGTTTGGCAAAATTATAGAGGGAAGGAAGGAAGGAAGAAGCCTTTGAGTGTTTGAAAGGCAAATGTTTAAAAGAGAAACCAAGTAAAATGGGGATAGGAAAAAATGAAAAGTCTCTAAAAAATGATGACTGATTGAAGTGAGGCAGTGAGAAAAAACGCTCTTGGCTGTAACAGTGTGTTTGTTGTCACGGTGCACACCGATACAGGGCAGTTTGTAGCAGATGCTTGTTACGCCCAGGTGTCAGAAGCCTGCAATAATACTGTCATCTGAGTGGAAAAGGCATTGTGGCTGTTTACAACTGGGCGCATACAGCGCTACCCCTTCCAATTCGCATACCGCGAGAACAGGAGTACGGAGGATGCCATCTCCACGGCATTACACTCCGCCCTTTCTCACCTGGACAATAACAACAGCTATGTGAGGATGCTGTTCATAGACTTCAGTTCAGCTTTCAACACTGTCATTCCCTCCAAACTAATCACAAAGCTCAGTCACCTGGGTATCAACACTTCCCTCTGTAACTGGATATTGGACAGACCCCAGTCTGTTAGCGTAGAGAACCACACCTCCTCAACCCTCATCCTGAACACCGCCGTGCCACAGGGCTGTGTGCTAAGTCCTCTCCTCTACTCCCTCTTCACCTACGACTGCACACCTGTACACGGTTCTAATGCCATTGTCAAGTTTACAGGCGACACAACGGTAATTGGCCTCATCAGTGACACCGATGAGTCGGCCTACAGAGAGGAGGTCCAGCACCTGGCGGTGTGGTGTGCCGACAACAACCTGGCTCTCAACACCAAGAAGACCAAAGAAATAATTGTGGACTTCCGGAAGAAAACTGGCACACACATCCCCATCCATATCAACGGGACGTAGGTTGAGCGTGTCGCCAGCTTCAAGTTCCTGGGTGTCCACATCTCTGAGGACCTCTCTTGGACCCTCAACACCTCATCCCTGGAAAAGAAAGCACACCAGCGTCTCTTCTTCCTGAGGAGACTGAAGAAGGCCCATCTGTCTCCTCAGATTCTAGAGAATTTCTACCGCTGTACCATAGAGAGCATCCTTACAAACTGCATCTCAGTATGGTATGGCAGCTGCTCTGTCGCGGACCGTAAATCACTGCAGAGGGTGGTAAAAACTGCCCAATGCATCACCGGTTCCTCACTCCCCACCATTGAGGCTGTCCAGAGCAAGAGATGTCTGCGGAGGGCACGCAGCATCGAAAAGGACAGCTCTCACCCCAGCCAGACTGTTTGCCCTCCTCCCCTCTGGGAGGCGCTACAGGGTGCTCTGTTCCCGGACCAGCAGGTTCAGGAACAGCTTCATCCCTGCGGCTGTCACTCTACTGAACTCTGCCCCCCACCCACACACACATCTCCCTCAGTGACTGTACTTCCCCCTCCACCCTGGCTTGACTGCCACACCCTCCTCCAGCCACTGAACATTTGCACTGTTATTGTTATTGTATATCCATTTCTTACTGTTCATATTGCAAAACTATTTCTTACTTTACATATCTATTTATTCACTTATTACACTTTACATATGCACATACTCTGCACTTTTTGCTATTTTGCACTTCTGGTTGGATGTTAAACTACATTTCGTTGCCTCAGTACTTGTACTCTGTGCAATGACAATAAAGTTGAATCTAATCTAATCTAATAAACTACGTATTACATATTCAACCAGGTTAGGTGTGAATGGGTGTGAACACAGACTGTACCAATATGAACGACTGACACAGGGTGGATTGCATTGTTCTGGGGAATAGTCTTATCATCCATCCATCCATCGTCAAACCGCTTATCCTGCACACAGGGTCGCGGGGGGGCTGGAGTCCATCCCAGCCAACTTCGGGCGATAGACAGGGTACATCCTGGACTGGTCGCCAGCCATCGCAGGTAGTCTTATCATGGTTATTTAAAAATATTTTTCTTCTTAAATATTGACTGACTTTGCTTCTTCTACAGGAGGAGCTTAATGTTTAAATGAAAGGGGCAGAAGCTCTTGCGGGGTAGAACATATACTGGGTTAAGAGGACTCTGTCTGTTCTCCTGCCACCACTCGGGCCGATCCTTTCTCCTGACAATGATCCACAACGCCCCCCCGGGTGCCTCCGGGTCAGACCTTTGTTTGCAAGAAATTTCAACACACATTAACACAAAAGCACAAATACATGCAAACACATCCTCATCCTAAAAAAACATCATATTATTATCATGCATATCTGTAATCTTCCACATGTATCCTGAACATTTAAAAGTAAAGCTGTAAATGTTTGCTTCTCTTTATTCTACATCCGTCGAGCTTTAATGATTTATTCCACAGTGTACGGCAGACGAAACCAATCCCAGGACCATTTTCTTTAATTTACCAACAATCAGCTTTAAATGGAAGAGGCGTGCGCAAACAATCACGGTCCGAATGAACAAGATGTGTGTTTTAAGTGCGTGCTATCAACATCCGTCAAGAGTCCCTGCCGGTTTTTCCGTAAATCCGTATTCGAGTTACAGCTACAAAATGAATTTTAGCGACATCGATCTGTACCTTGTTGTTGTGTGCCTGCTCCTCCCCTAATGACACTATTGTATTTGGGATTTTAGTGTAGTATTGGAGATCTGCCAGCATTAATGGGACGGCCTACAAACAGGCAGAGCAAAGATTTGCCTTTTCTACAATCCATCAGGGAAACAGAGAGATGGAGAAAAGACGATGGAAGACATGGGAATACTGATGGAAAAGGCAAGTGAGGGATGTGTCTGTGTGTGTGCATGTGTGTGTGCATGTGGTGGTGGGGAGGAGGGGGGGGTCATATATTATTCATGAGCTTTCTTCCTTGGTCGAGTAAGGCTGGACTCATTTACCATATGTTGTAGGATTTTGCCATTGTAATACTATAAGACTATAATTTTCCCCAGATTGAAGTCATTTGGTTTCATAGAGTATATCAGTGCACTGGTTGCATAATGAAATGTAATTTATTTACCAACGGTGACTCTGGATCAGTGTTGACACTTTCCCTGAAGCAGACTTACAAAATGAGCACAATGAATGTGAGCAGGATGAACTCAATATTATCTAATTATTGTTTCTTTACTCATTTATATACACATGGCCACATGTCACACGTCTTTGCGTCCCGGCAACTGTTGCTTTTAGAATTTATTTTACAGATACTATTGACTACAGAGAAATAAAACATGTAGAACACTTTTTAATTGGAGGAGATAATCAACAACACAGAAAAGGGAGATATATATTACCTACTGCAAATCCTCAAATATAAGGTACTATCTGTATATGATAGATTAATTACTTGTCATCATAACTCCATAATGATTCCTCATGGGAAGTTGTGTGTCTCCACAGGAGAAACACTAGATGGTGCTGATGTCAAAGGGTAGTTGCTTTGTTTCTTATACAGCAGAACAGGGACATATGGTTTAGATTATATAGTGCAACAATAAATGTCTGCGTACACGCACGTAATGTTGGGGGGGCTCCCTCTCCTCATGGTTTATTCCGTAGTTGTTTTAGCAAATGATAAATATAATTATGTTTGGTTTATATTCTTTTTTATATTGATGAATAGTGTGTCCTTTTTGGAGTTTTTAGTGGTCTGTTACTGCTCAGTGATCATCGTTCATTCAATTTTCATGGGTAGCCTGTATAATGTATACACTTCGCAAAGTATATAATTGGTATATATTTAATGCATTTTATAGATCAAGTAGTTTGGGAAAAAACAAGCTTATTGTTTATCGAATTCCATTACACTTTATTTTATTTAGTATACATATTTCATTGGACATTTAAAATCATGAAATTTGACTTATTGTAAAAATTCAAAGAAATGTACATTTCATGTTTGACAGTGACACCATTTAAATACTTAACATTTAGGTTTAACATTATGCAAAAGCTCACCTTTTGAATGTGATATACGAGGCAAAGCAGCAGTTGCAGATTAATCTACCAAACAGAAAACAAAAAACATTTTACAGGTACGTCCAATGATAAAATAATTAATTTAAATACCTGCAGTAGTGATCTCATATTTACAGCTTTTAAAATAAACCAAATAAAAAACATATATGTGCCAAAGTAGAGTGAGCGTGTATTAGTTGTATGTCTGTTTGTTGGTGAAACGTACTGCAGGAGGAATACCAAGATCCAGTGATGAAATGTTGCATTCCATTAATGCAAGTTCACACCATGCAACAATATATACAATTGACAATTATACTTTTAAACTATTAAACTAACATAAGAAAGCTGCACCGGACAAAATGCTCTGTATTTACTCACGGAACGCTGCATGAAATGCATATATTCAATACCGGAAACGGGAAAACTCTTAACCTGGATACAACTTCTTCCTTGGCACACCAAGGACTGCAGTATATTTGTAAAACAAGCATCTAAGAATACTCCAAAATGGGAGGGTTAGAAAAATATGCATTCATGATTTGGGGTAATACTCAGAGATTTATTTTACTTTATGCAAAATAAATCTCAATTTACAGTGTTTCCTACAGCCCCCTTTACATTTACAATGGCTCCTTATCAAAATAGTCTTAAAACTACTTAACTTTTTCACATTCTCCATCAAAACCTTCAACACTAAGTTCCAAATACTCTCGTTGGCCACCTGTTATTTAGCAAATAATATATATAGTATTATTGTTCTCAAATTTGAAATTTCATCAACCACATTGTGGTTAAATAAACTTGTTGAATGTATTCACTTAAGACACTGTATGGATACATAAGGGTTACTCCCATCGTTGTTGGTTGAATTACAGATTTAAATCAGTCATGTGTTTTTTGTTAATAATGGGTTATGAGAAAAATGTACGTATTTTTGTACGCGTTTTGGCTGTTTAGAATATATAAATAATACATTAAAAATAATTAGTACAAGCAAAAAAAGGTCTTTTGGCGTCAATACTGAGTGTAAACTGCTAAAAGGATCTAGTAAAGAATTCCGCAAGAAGAATTTCAACCCCATATGAAAAAGAAAGCTTTTGTAGCAGGTTAAAACGTTACAGTTATCCCACACTACATCAGACTTAATGGCTTCTATGCAACCTGCAACTGTTTGTTTTTAAATCTGCTTTGGGAATCCTTGGGAATAATCTGCTTGAATGGTTGGAAGTCACATTCATCATGCGTTTCATAAACTCTGCCTATTGAAGTCTGAAACAGCTGTCATGTGTCTGAGGAGACAGTAAGATATGACTAGTGCCGTTTTCTGCACCAACGGAGGCAAAACAACACAGACGGGACTTTAACATTTTCGTTCCAAACTTAATCCAAAACTAAAGTCTGCACTATTGGTCCAGTGATCAAATGCTTGAATAGAGGAACGTTTCTGTGACTCTGACATTCAACATTCTAAACGTAGAGTCTCATCATCAAAGTGATTTCACTGACGGGTTTCAGCTCTCAGACTGAAACATGCAGACTTGACATCCATCGCACAGAGTTGCTCTCCAGTCGTAAACGCTCCTTATCTGCAGTCGTGTGGTGTGTACGCCTGTCAAGAAGCTATCAGGATTGTAGTAACACTACAAGCAAATACTAGACACGCAAAATACTAGACACGCTCACTCCGGGCTGGTCTGGCTACTCCGCTAGTACTATTTCAGTAGGTTCACTGCTTAAAACTAGAGAAAAACAGCAGACTGGTTAAACCCTTTCCTTTCTCCCCGAGAACAAAACAAAGCTCAGAATAAAGTGAACTATCCAACCCACAACTTAAGTTCGGTTTCAAACAGAAGCAGAAATTATGAATAAGAAATCTGCAGCGGTGAGGGTAGAGAATTAGGTCTAAGTCAGGACACTCGAGGAAGGGAACGATTTAAGCAGGATAATATTAAATTATCTGAGAATTTGACTCCAAAATCCAGATGGATAAATAGGACCCGCACAGTGCTAACACAACCACTGAAACACCTCCGCCTCAGCACGGCGAGGAGGACATTTGTTCATACTCTGGACACTTGAGGAGGGCTGGGTAGTTGGAGGAGTTCATCTGGACGGAGGCCTCGGAGGAGATGGCGGATGCACTGCGACCACGTCCGGCCCAGGCGTCAGGGTGGAGGAACTGGCCGGAGTAGTCTGAGCAGTTGCTGAGGCGAGGCTGGTAGAAGCCCTGATGGGGCCGGTACATTTCCTCTGCTGTGTAGCGCTTCATGAACAGGTACACGGACATGACGCCTGCAGCCTGGCGGGAAGAAGAGACTAGTTATTCTCCAGAAACATCCGGTTATATCCAGGTCACTTTAAGCAAACGCATAACCAAAAAATAATTGCGATTAGAGAACTGTTGGTTCTGAGAAATTGTTTCCTGCTTCATCATTCAAAATCCCAAACCCCATAAATTTGAATGTGTGTTTATTCAAATGTGGATCTCAACATTTCCTGTTTTCTAAAGGATATCCACTTCACAGAAAAACTGTAATCCACATTCAAACTTTTGAATTATTCACTTTTATGACTACAAAATATTCAAATGAATAGTGAATGACCAAGAATCAATAGCAGACCTTCACTGAAAAGCTGATTTAAAGACTTGGCCTAAATCGAACCATCCAACCACCAATCATACTTAAGGAATTCTAAGACATGATGTCTTTTAGGACTATCTGTTACAACACAAAACGTTTTCTGATGCATTCCCCAATCAGAGTAAACCGTGAATATCAGAGACAACCTCACATCATACAAATAAAATATTAGAGCCACCTTGTTGGACAAGGACAAAGAACAAGCCTGGGACCCTTATTAGAGAAAATCTGTCTCAATACAAACATCCAGGCGTCGTCCAGGTGTCAAGCAGAAACAAGCTAATGGCTTATTAAACATATTTCAAACGGTCAGAAGGGTTGAGTTATATCCACACTTTGTTTCGTGTAGTTACCTCAGTGAGCAGGAAGGAGATGGCAGCAAAGGCAAAGGACCAGCCGTACTTGTAGCTGAAGTAGGCCTCATTAGTTCTGGTTCTGTTCAACATTTCGTCATTAATGTTGGAGATGTACAACACCAGACCGACCACCAGAGAGAGACCTGAAGGAGGCAGGGACTATGTTCATTAAAATAAAAATCCTCTCACACTTTATTTCAGCACAAATCCAATTCCTCACACGTAAATGTCTGATGAGGTCGCGAGGAAAAGCCAAACCAAGGAAAAGCCAAACCTGACAGGATGAAGAAGATTCCAGAAACGAAGGCCAGGATGGTGCGATGGGGTCGGATGTGTCCGATGTTACTGAGCACAAAACCGATGAACATGAAGAAGAGGCTAACCAGAGGGAAGGGTGTCGCAGAACGGATCATCTCTGCATGAGGACACGAAAGGAGTGAAAAACATTCAGAAATGCACCAATGATTCAGCTGTCGCTCCCGGAGAAAACTTTTTCTCTTCCTTCTTTTTTGTGTGCAATTTCTTCAATAACTAAGTGGCACTTTTAATGGAAAAGTTCTCGCTTGTGAGACTGGTCTTACTCATCGAGGCAGCATCTCATGGGTTTAGGACACGCTTCTTTAGTCATATCAAGATGAAACTGGACCTCCCTACTGAGTGCAGATGGTGTGGTACCTCCTCCCATTGTGTTCTCCATTACACAAAATGTTAACCTTCCAGCTGAGTGGACCAGATGTTTAAGGTCATAACCGTAAAGGAACTGTTTATTTAATAAGTTTGGTGCAGTACTTGTCTGATACGTTCTACTGCAGATAAACAACATCCCTTTTCGGACTCATGTTGATTCTGTCAAATTCAGAAAACAAGCTCTAGTTCTGAATGAATCAATTCTCCTATCTCACACTTTCTTATCAAAAGAGTTTTGAAATATACAAATGTGATTATTTTGTAATTCACTGTATCTAAGATGATTCAAAAGTTTGAAATTGTACTTTTACTAGGTTAACTGTCTTAATACAGTATGTCTCACCTCCTTGTCATTACAACCTTTGGACTCAAGGAGGATATGAGCCAGGACAGATGTTTTCCTACAGTACGGACATGGGCCTACCAATGCTGGAGTTCTCAGATCTTTAACCCTCCGCTAAAGCTGTGTGTCATAGCCCAGTTAAAAAAAGACGTATATTCTGACCCCTGACAGGTGCAGTCATTCTGAAGCCTGGATAGAAACCTGTGACGCTCACAGGCGACTGTGAGCAGCACAGAGACTAACGTGTTGAATACAACCCTCGTTGCCCCAAACACACCCTCCCTCTCTAGATCATAGCGAAACGTTCCAAACTAAACCAGAGGACCTGAAGGGTTTTGTAGCATTGGCCACATAACAGTCTACTGTGAGCCGTTACTTACTCAGGACACTGACCGTGGACTCAGAGGTCAGCTGGAGGGTGGTGGGCATCACATATTCTATGGTGAAACACCGGCCTTTATCCTCCCCTGGAACAAAGCACAGGGAGAGAAATATTCATCCTGAGCCCTCGACTCAACTCATTAATCTGTTATTTGCTGACACAGAAAGTCAAACACAGAAACACACAGCAGTAATTCGTTGGAGTACAGATACTTCTTTAGGCTTTTTGTATGATGATAATATCTACCAAGGCAACAAGTTATGGCCGTGTATTATATATTTTCCAGTAAGATTTATTATATCATGTGCAGGAATGAGTAAACTTGTGCGATTGCCATGTTCTAATTTCACCTTGTTTCCTCTGGGACAAAATGAAACATTAAATAACTCACAGCACTTTGCAATCAAACATGGAATCAACAGCTGGTTTCATTCGATACATCATTTCTCTGTCTTTATTTGCTAGAGAGGAACACAAAGCAAGTTAGATTTTGTGGTTCAGCGTGTAATCATCTTTTCATAAAGATTGTTATGTGTCAGCATGTGAACTAAAAGGTTGCATGACGAGGGTTTAGGTCAGGTAAGAACAAAATATAAGTATATACGCTGCATTCATCTTAAACCTTTAAGCATTATATTGTGGCGATGATTAAAGTTCATCATAATGCACAGTAGTACACACGTGAAATGGTGCACAAACATGCAAGTGTTGCCAGTTAGTCGAGTTCTAGAGGATCTGAAACATGCTTATTCATTAGTCAAGCTTTATGAAGTGTTCACATGTGTGTTGGCTACCTGCTGCTACCTAATGATTGCTGAAACAATGTATTAATGTGCATTTTTTATTGCAATCAGCCCGCTCAGCTCGTTGTATTAGATAAAATGTGTGTGTATCAGTGTTTCTCCTACCATTATATCTAGATAGCAAATTCCCAAATACGGGTGGTTTACCACCTCAGCTACACAATTCTCTGTCAGAAACCCTAAAGTTTGAATCAAAAGATGCTCCTGATGCGACATGACCGATGTAGGCAAATGAAACGTCAATGCAGCGTCGTTCAAAGTCTCCTGCATAACGGCATACTAGGATAGTGTGCAGTAATTGTTTCTGGGTCTAATTCAAACAGTTACGCAAGCAATGAGGTCACTCAATTGCCCCTAAAACACACAAACTGGACCATTAGTGCATTTATACTGCAGCAGTGGCCTACTGCGCGGCAGAAAAACACCCAATTACAACTGAAGAGGCATACATGTATGGCCAGACTGAATGATTAACCCTGAAACAGGACAGCGCATTGTGGAACAGCACATAATGGAACAGTAAGTGGAATAATATTACAGGGTAAATAATCTAATGAGGATAAGGATATTTAAAAAATGTAATATATTTTCCGCTGTATGTTGAGCCTCTGTTTGTTTTACTTCAAATGCAAAAAGCTCTGCAGTCAGCTACCGTCTCTCTGTCTAACCGACTGCAGCACGCAGCGGTTTCGTTTCCGGGGGCAACGCACACCGTTTGCACACATTTCCCCTCAACATCACTAATAAGTACAAACTGCCCTTGCAAAGGACCCTGTGTGAATATTGACCTAAATATTACTATTTGGGCTTCATGGAAATTCTGTTTTGAACTAAATAGGATGATTGCTTACTTCATGGACAACCAAACTAAAGTTCAGTACTTACCGCTGAATATATTCAAATGATCTATCCCAATGGTCACACATCTCCGCCTCAGACCTCTGACATCTCTGACAGAAATGCGATACACCTGGTTTACTTTGACTCAAACAGAGAGGGGAAGGCGTCATTTAATCTCGTTTCAGAGTTCACACTGACTCACCAGCCAAGAAGCAAACCCTCCAGAGGCCCGAGTGGAGGGACATGCGTACCTCGGTGCTCTGGTTGAGGGGAAGGATGACGCCCTCCTCCAGGTAGAGCCAGTGGTCGGTGCTCACAGCGATGCCCAACAGACCCAGGGCGCAAACAGCGAACACGCTGCTCAGCAAAGTCAGCGCCTTCCTGCCACAGAGGCTCATACCACGGCCTCAACAGCACGGGGGGCGCCGCCGGCAGAAAGAGGAGCTGGGAGACAGGAAAGAAACAAAGAAATGGCTTGAATATGCTGTGCCTTAAAAGAATGGCAAAAATGAATACGTGAAATCCAGCGTTCCACTTTTTATTAAAATTCTCAGAAAATAATAGACTAGATATGCTTTATGCACGACCGTGTGATATTGAGGTGGGATACTGGATGGAGGGTTAATGTCTAATCTAAATTCAACTTATTCAGAGATGAGCTGGAAGTTACTGGAAAGTAAAACTTGGGAATATGATATCAATAAATGTCATTAACAAAAGGACTTTCTCCCTCTTCGCTGAGAAAGAAATATGAGATCTTCCAAATCTCTCATTAGAATAAGAAAGACTTGGTGGGGGATCTCTGCAAAAATGTTACGTAAAGTTTCTCATTTGACCGCCCTCATGCTGTCCGCAGCCCAAAATATGCACTGATAGGGTTCAATACAGAATTGTGAGACTGCTTCTTCTGCAGTAATCACACACAGCTCCTATCCAACATGAATCCACTTCCGCTCAGTTACATCTGCTGATGCAGAAGCAGCAGTGCAGATGGTGTACAGCATATGAATGTGTGCGCTCATCGCATAAAGCGATGGATCTGTTCGTATGCTGGCTGATGCCAACGTTTGGCGGAAGCTGGAGTGCTGTGGAGCTTGGCATAGGATATGCGTCAAAGGGGATTGATTTTACAAAATGACTTCTCAGTGGGCTGCCACATCCAGCACTCACTGGGACACTGGGGCCATGAAGGGAATGTGTCACGTTTTTTTCTCTCTCTGAAGATCGACGCCGTGTGAGTGGACGTGGAGCCTCAGTAGGGAGAAAGTCAGGAGATCTGCACACATCTGCCAGCTCGCACACCCTGATCTCCAAAATCTGTTTGTAAAGATGTATACCAAAATCTTGAACATACAAATGTGTAGTGATACATACGAAATAAATACGGACTGCAACTGATGACGTCACCCTATTCACGTGAACGGGGACCTGCACCCCGTAAACACACTTTGTGAAGTCTAACGATGTAAAATAATTGGTTATGATTGCATTTTTAACGAGAAATCAATGTTAACTTGTAAGAATAGAATTCTAACCCTAACCCCCTCAAAAAATCCAACATGGCGGAGAGACGTTCACTCAAGAATCCAACATGGTCCGCCACGTTGTTCACTCAAGGGGCGTGGTTAACCACCGCCAGTTCGTATGTATTGTTACGAATTTGTATGTTCAAGATTTTCGTATACATTTTTACGAACAGGTTTTGGAGATCACGTTGGCTCGCAGTGTAGGACAGACAGAGCCGTCAGATGGGGTAGTAACACAGAAATTGAAAAAAGAGGAGCAATTGTGGTGGTATGTTTCAAGCCCCTGACAAAAACAAGGACATTATAATGATGTTGACAACACTTGATGTACTTATGATATACAATCTGCTCAACATTAACATGAATGTATCTTTTAAATTGCTTACAAAACCAACCACGAGAAGGAAGTCTGTAAAAAACAATTATTCTTTCCACAAAGTTAAAAACTAACATGTGTGCCCACCTTAACAGGACACACGGAAACTCACACCTTCATAAATATTAATAATTATCCCCATTCTTCTGGTGACTAAAGGATTATAAACAGTGACTGATCTCATTTGAGAAAAAAAGGATTTTATTATTATGTAGAAATGTTTCTCATTAAATGTTCAAAGACACTGCAACCAACAAAAAGACCTCGTGGTTTCCTTCTGCCTGCAAAGGGAAACATAAAAAACACCACCTCCACTGCATTCAACATCAGCATTTCCTTTAAACCGGTTTGAATGTGCAGCTGGACTGGAGTCCCCTGCTGCCCAAACACGGTGATTCATCAAGGGGAAGCTTTGTTACGGTCGCCCTCAGATGTGTTCCTCTTGTGCAAAGACAAAAGCTACATCAAATGATAAAAACTATCACACATTTTTACGCAAGATTTTGAGAATACAGATGTGTAAAAACATCTTTTAAAATAATTTGCTTAAGGACAGTTGACATTTTCCTCCATGATGTGATGCTGAACAAAGCCCCTCTGGGTTTGGAGGCATCGAGCAGGGCAGAGGCCAATCACTGCTGGAGTAAAGGGCACGTCACAAAGTAGAGCACAGACCAAACCTCCTGTCACATTAATGCCAACAGCTCACTTCCAACGACGCCACAGTTTCTGAGTAAAATACAAAAACAGTAACACAGACGTCTCCAGCACCATTTCAACTGTTGTTGGCTTGGCCAGTATGATGAAACGCAGACATCCGGGACACTTCTTATCTGTAATACATCAAGGCGGGGCAGATTTTGGCTAAATGAATATATGTAAAATGCAATCAGTGGCTTAAGAAAACAACACTTGACAACGAGTGATTCAAGCACATTTGCTGTTAGACACAGCAGCACTAAATATGCTGCAAACACATCTGAATATAAGGACTTTCCTTTGTTATTAATTGTAGAGCAACTGCAAAAACTAAGAGTGTTCTTTCTTTTTGTGCCACCTTCAACATAACTGAACGGCCCTCTGGGAGGCTTCACTTCATCTTCCTCTCATTGCTGGACTGCCAGCCTGATCTCCAAAACCTCTTCGTAAAAATGTATACGAAAATCTTGAACATACAAATTCGTAGTGATACATACAAAATAAATACGGACTGCAACTGATGACGTCACCCTATTCAAAGTGAACGGGCACCTTCACCCCGTAAACACACTTTGTGAAGTTTAACGATGTAAAATAAACGTGTTATGATTGCATTTTTAACGAGAAATCAATGTTAACTTGTAAGAATGGAATACTAACCCTAACCCCCTCAAAAAATCCAACATGGCGGAGAGACGTTCACTCAAGAATCCAACATGGTCCGTGTGTTCACTCAAGGGCCGTGGTTAACCACCGGCAGTTCGTATGTATTGTTACGAATTTGTATGTTCAAGATTTTCGTACACATTTTTACGAACAGGTTTTGGAGATCACGTTGGGACTGCAGGCAGACTGGCTGCTACACTGGTTCAGCATCTCCTCTCAACGTACGAGTGGTACAAGACAGTATCGTCTGAGGCTCGATAGTCAGGCGACACAGACCTTAAATCTGTTACTTCTTTTCTTGATAATGTTGCTCATTTTTTGACTAAAATTCTGGCCGTATCTTGCACATTGCACCCTTAAGAGATAAACAGATGAGTATAACATAGTAATAGTGAAGGTAATTACAAAACAACTGATACTCTGTTTTGAATGCGCCTGTCTGTGAGCGCAGCGGCCATGTGGCCTCTGATGCAGACAGACGACACGTGGGAGCAGGTATCTGGTTGGTGGTGGTTGGGCCGGCTGGAGGAGCCTGAAGACAATGACCGTCTAATGCAGGGGAGACAACATGTATCATAAAGCCCCCATCACCAGCACGCTGAGATCTGCATGTACAGTGTAAGCAGGCGCACTAACAGGAAAACAAAACACATCATGCACACGCCTAGACCATTCTACATGCATACATGTTTTCAGTACAGACCTTAACTGGAGTTATTCGGTAAATACATAAACATCAGCTTGATTGTAATTACTGTTACTGTATGAATCGTTCTTTTTGCATCTATGTCCTTTATGTTTGCATGACGTTGTATGGGCTGCATCTGTACTGAGAATATTTTCACCATTGTAGCCGGTTGACATCCAAAAAAACCCTCAGCATCATCACACATTAGAGTGCATTTCAATGACCCACAAACTGTCCACTGACACTGTCGTCTTCACTTAATGGTACATGATTATAACAAAGGGAACATGTGAATGTTCAACAGTATTACAAAGAGTAATGAGCTTTTCTGTATTTTGGCCGTGCTAAAATCCTCCAGTGTTAAAACACACAGCTAGAAAAAAATAAATGGCGTGTTATTTACAAAGCAGTAACTAACACTGTCTCACAAAACATTTTTTACAGAAGTAACACTTATTTACTTTAAGAAAAACTGAAAATAATTACTGGGACAACCTTTGAATTAAAGAAGCACTATTCCAATCCAAATAAAGAAGCCCATGTTGTTTGATCTGGCAGCCAGACTATGTGATATAATGTTAAAATGCATTATATCACAGATGCTCTTACACATCAGCCGTTCTGCTGGCCTCCAAGAAGAGAGCCAACAAGCCAAAATGATTTCTCACTGGTCTAATTTTGGAGACGCATCAGCCCCCCCTTGAAGGCATGCCTACCAGAAACGAGAAGACAAATCTTCGCTGAAACTTGCAACGCATCATCTGGCAAACAGCAGAGAGAGGTGGCGGTGATGGTGTGAGCTGTCAAATTAGGTCACAACAATCAGTCAACTTGCTGTTAAACGTTACCCGCGGGATAACAGTTGAAGCAGCTCGCGTATGACCCCATGTGGAAAGTGCTCCATTCCCTCGCCTGAGAGACTGCCTTAAAAACAAAATACAAAATAAATACCTTTGGCTATACTAAAAATGACGTGCACGTAATGAACTATTGCTGATTCCTAGTGTATAACAAGACACAAGTGAGTGGCACAGTGGTGATCTCTAAAAGATTCACTTTGACCAACAGCACTAATCCATTTTTCCGTTTTTGTTTTGAGAACAAGTCGCTGTGTTCGATTTACCCCGTCGCCTGGCAACAGTATACAGAAAGGCCTCCAAAATTAGCATTAATGGACTGAAGAGCATGTCCCAAAACAAGGCATCCTACTTGGTAGTGCATTTTAAATGCTGTAGCAGAGAAAGAGGAAAAAGATTGAGACAGAAAAAAACTCACAGGAACACAACATTCCACAAAAAAACCCTGTTAGACCCCCAGAATAACAGGTCTGTGTGGAGCCACAGGGTGTAATCTAAATTAAAAGAGAATCACCGTCACAATTTGAAATTGAGCAACTCTCTCACCACCGAGCGGGGGGTTTACTTTTGGAGGATATTTCCATTAGGATGTTCCTATGAGTCTGAGGGATCACTGAAGCCAAGCTTTGTTTACTGTGCTTAAATGTTGTTTCATTCATCGGCATGCTTTATATACACCCTAAAAACAGCGAGGGATATTATTAAAGCTTAACAAAGGAAACCAAAACAGAACCCAGTACTAATATTGAGAGGACAATCCTTGGTAATGAATACATATTTTTATAAAATCTATTGAAATTTACAGATCTAAGTACAATTAAATGGTATCTAACAAATAGTTATAGCTGGCTAATAACGTATCCAAATGACCTATTAGCACAATAGTGCAATTTATGCAAAGTATGTCCTAATGCAGCAGTCCAGCACACTATGTGTCCAATACAGTTTTCACAATACCTTTTCCCTAATGATGTTTTCTAGCCAGCAGGAGTGAAAGGTTGGTAAACTGCAAACAGGGGTGGTGCTGGGTTGACCAGACAAAGGACCATTGGACACTAGAAGACTTGCATGAAGTGATTCAAGTCTTTGACACACATAGGAGTCTGTATGAAGAGAAAAGAGATTCCCCCAACAACAGTCAAGAACAACTAACCAGGACAGCACGTACCTTTTGAATTATTGAATTGCAACCACATCATCTCAGTCTAAATATATGTTAGAGCAGTATGTGTTTGAAGAGTGCATGTGGACAGAAGGCCTGTGGGCGACCTTTTGTACTGTTTAAAGAAAAGAAAATACTTATATTACAATGTGTGCAACATCCTAAACTAACAAAATATAACATACACACACATTTAGTTCAATAGCTTCGATGCGTAATCGTAAGCATCCTGTGAGACGCTGTGAGCGCGAGCCCTTTGTTCCATCTTTGGCTCGCGCTCGAGTCGCTGTCCGCGGTGCTGAGAAGCTCGATACCGGAAGACTGAGACAACATGACCTCAGTGTATTGCGCGTGTTTTTACACAAGAAGATAAATTCACGACGCAAATGCACTTAAGCCACGTTTACACTGCTGTATGTTGTTGCAGAAAAATCCAAAGTAAATAAAAGTGTTGCATATATGTGCATTCGTGTTATTAACTGCAGGTTCCGCACTAGCATGAAGTAATTGAACTCCCAGCAGCTAATTGCGTTCCTCTCCATTTCCCTCCATAAGAATCTGTAGAGATCTCACAACACGTTCTTATTGCATTAACTAAAGGTTGGCACATCCAATGTAACGTTCCCCCGTTTGTAAATCCGAGTGAGTACATGCGACTTAACGGAAGCTTCAACTTCTGACAAAGAGTGCAGAGGAAACGTCCATTTACCGTTTAAGCAAACAAGCCTCGGTCCAACATGCACAACACAAAAACATCCCAGGCACGACAAACACAACATTCCTCGGTTCGTCAGAAACTACAACAGTGCATGTTTTGCACAAAATGTCGATAGGACGAAAACGCACTTACGGAAAAAACCTTAATTACCTTCACGAAGAAGACTCGTCGCACCGTTCTTCCTCTCAGTCTTCTCGCGTCTCTCCCCGCGCAATCGGTGCGCGTCTCCTCGGGTTCGGCGCGTGATGAGCCCGCGCGTCGCTGTGAAGACTCGCGCACCACACTACTAGGCAAGGCGATACCAACAGCACTGCACGTGGGTTCCAACCGAGCGCCTCCTTTACGCTTCAGGTGTGCGTAAACGGCGGAGAGATGCTGCGTGCGCATGTTGTGGAATCAGGCCACGCGTCCGGACAAAGGACAACCCCTGGAGTCGCCAGGTGTGGTGCAGGTGTTTGAAGATCAGACACCGCGGTGTTTGCATGCACATTAAGAGATTGTAATGCCAACATACATTGGATGCGTCAAAACTTCCCACAGGTAAAGTCAGGTGCTTTTCACATGTCGTTACATCGCGCAGGCCCGCTATGTTATAATCACAAGCCAGGACGTTTGGGCAACTTAGAACCCTGTTGATCAGAATGGGAGGCAGCACTTCTGGTAAGTTTGGAGAACCAGAAAAAAACACTATGCACCAGGAATTTGGTTCATAGCTTTATCGATATTGAACAAATGGCGACCATTGGCCCAGAACAGATATTCACTGAAATATCTGTTCAGTAACAGTTGGGAACCGCAAGGTTGGTGGTTTGAGTCCTGGCTGCCCCATGTCTCAAGTCGAAGTGTCCCTGAGCAAGACACCTAATCCCTAATTGCTCCTTGGGCAAAATGTGAAAAGCCGTGGGTTTAAATTGTAATGTAAGTCGCTTTGGATAAAAGCGTCAGCTAAATGACCTGTGATGTAATGTAACATCATTTTTTTACACTAAGGATTAAATATGTACTCTAACAACATCCTACGAGAGTCCATTTCTATGTGTTGGAGGAAAGAAAATACACAAAGAACCCCCATTGGTTCCGCCCACACAGAAGGTCCCACATGGTACAGTCCTCATTACCAGCCCCCAGTTGAGCAGGGTGCTTTCATCTACACCTACTGGACACAACTATCCTCTACCTAAATTAAGGCTATTACAAAACAACAAAACAAATACGTTAATGACTTGGCTTCTCTGCAAAATTCTATTCTTACAACACAACATGTAGCCAGCTTTTAATTCCTGTAGTAAAAAAGCAAAGATAGTTGTGGTTGTTTCCAAAGAAATATGGTAGGAAGCCACAAAATAATGAGTGTTAACGCTTCTCTTTATTCTCTCACATTCTTCTCTCATGTTTCTCTCCCATTGAATTGGTTTCCCCATTGAGACACAAACTGTGGTCTCATTTGGATTTTGCTGCTCTTCAAAAACCAAAAGGAATAGTCTGTCAAATAAAAGGAGTGTCACGGTGCGGTTCTCGGTGGACCCCAAAATGCAGAGACAGGAGACAAGATGGTCTTCAAAAGGTTTAATCCTCACAGCAGGATACACAAAAACACAAGGCGCTGGAAACGGAGGAGACGACGGAGGTTGAGCTGGCTGGGCTGGCGTAGAGCACGGGAGAAGAGAGCCGGGAGCCACGAGTTGCAGCGGGTACGAGCGGGAATACTCTGGCACCGGAGTGACGAGCAGAGCCTGTCTTTATGGCACAAGTGATTAGGTGGGATGGGAACCAGGTGTGTCTCGTTCAGCACCAACCTCGCCCTCCGCCGTCTCCTACTGCCAGGGAAATGGAAGAACACAAAACAACAAGTATCAAAAATCACACCACGACAGTACCCCCCCCTCAACGGACGCCTCCTGGCGGCCTACCAGGCTTGTCGGGGAACTCCCGATAAAAGTCCCTCAACAAGTCCGGCCCCAAAATGAGCGAGCGGGACACCCACGACCGCGCCTCAGGACCGTAACCCTCCCAGTCCACGAGGTACTGATACCCCCGGCCGCGCCTGCGGACATCCAGCAGCCGCCGGACTGAGTAAGCAGGATGGTTGTCAACAAGCCGGGGGGGTGGCGGGGGTTCGGCCGGAGGGCACAGATCGCTGGTGGAGACAGGTTTCAATAGGGACACATGAAAAACAGGGTGGATATGTAATTCCGGAGGCAATTTGAGTCTCATCACACTGGGATTGATCACTCTCTCAATCTCAAAAGGGCCGATGTATCTAGGATCCAGTTTCTTACTCACGGTCTGGAGCGGGATGTCCCGAGAGGAGAGCCACACCTTCTGACCAGGCTGATATGGGGGCGCTGGGGAGCGATGTCGGTCCGCCAATCGCTGATTGCGAGCAGCAGTACGTCTGAGGGCCGCACCAGCCTCGCGCCATACCCGGCGGGCTCGCCGGAGATGTTCCTGGACTGAGGGGACTGCCACTTCGGTCTCCTGAATGGGGAAAAGGGGAGGTTGGAAACCCAGGGAGGCCATGAAAGGAGACATGCCTGTGGCGGAGCTGACCAGGGAGTTGTGAGAGTATTCCACCCAGCTTAAATGGGTGGACCAAGAGGCAGGGTGTTTAGCAGAGACACAACGGAGAGCTGACCCGAGGTCCTGATTGACCCGCTCCGTCTGGCCGTTGGTCTGAGGGTGGTACCCAGACGAAAGGCTGACCGACGCCCCTAACGCTTGGCAAAAGGCTTTCCAGACCCGAGAGGCGAACTGAGGCCCCCGGTCCGACACGATATCCAGAGGAATGCCATGGAGTCTGAACACATGTAGGACGAGGAGGTTGGCAGTCTCTAGAGCCGAGGGGAGTTTGGGCAGAGGGACGAAGTGCACAGCCTTGGAGAAACGATCAACTATAGTAAGGATAACAGTGTTACCCTCCGAAGGTGGGAGTCCAGTAACAAAGTCTACTGCAATATGGGACCAGGGGCGGTGGGGAATCGGCAGTGGGCGAAGGAGGCCTGCGGGCGCTTGGTGGGAGGATTTGCTGCGAGCACAAACGGAGCAGGCTGAGACGAATTCCCTGGTGTCGGCTGCGATGGTAGGCCACCAGAAACGCTGCCGGAGGAGCGTGAGGGTCCGGTGAGAACCGGGATGACAGGCGATCTTTGAAGCATGTCCCCACTGGAGCACGGAGGACCTGGCCGTGGGCGGAACAAACAGCCGATCTTGGGGGCAGTCCTCCGGGGCGGGTTGGTCACGTAGTGCCTCCTGGACCACCTGTTCGACCTCCCACCTAGCTGCTCCTACCACACAGGAGGCAGGGAGGATGGTCTCCACGGGAAGGTCTTCCACAGGGGAGGAGAACTGGCGGGATAAGGCGTCTGGTTTTATGTTCCGCGACCCAGGACGGTAGGAGAGGGTGAACTGGAAGCGGCCTAGGAACAGGGCCCACCGAGCCTGGCGCGAGTTCAGACGACGGGCCGAGCGTAGGTAGGAGAGGTTCCTGTGATCGGTCCATACTAGGAACGGGTGTGTGGAACCCTCCAGCCAATGCCTCCACTCCTGGAGAGCGAGGACCACAGCCAGAAGCTCCCGGTTACCCACGTCATAGTTCTTCTCGGCTGGGGTCAGACGACGGGAGAAAAAGGCACAGGGGTGAGTTCGTTGATCGACAGGGGATCGCTGGGAGAGCACCGCTCCAACACCGGTGTCCGACGCGTCCACCTCCACGATGAACTGAAGAGAGGGATCTGGGTGAGAGAGCACAGGGGCTGAGGTAAACAAGTTCTTAAGACGTCTGAATGCAGTCTCTGCTGCCTGTGACCACAAAAAGGGGAGTTTGGAGGACGTCAGCTGGGTAAGTGGTCCTGATACCTGACTGTAGTTACGGATGAATCTCCTATAGAAATTAGCAAATCCCAGGAATCTCTGGAGTTGCTTCCTGGTGGAAGGGGATGGCCACTCTGCCACCGCTTGGACCTTGGCAGGGTCCGCCTTCAGCTGTCCCTTTTCCACCACAAAACCGAGGAAGCTGACAGAGGTGACATGAAACTCACACTTTTCGGCCTTTACAAATAATCTGTTTTCCAGCAGTCTTCTCAACACCAGCCTTACGTGCTGCACGTGTTCCTCCAGGTCTCTGGAAAAAATCAAAATGTCATCCAAGTATACAAACACGAGACGATTGAGCATATCCCTAAGCACATCGTTGATGAGGGCTTGAAAAACTGCGGGGGCATTGGTCAGCCCAAAAGGCATGACCAGATATTCAAAATGGCCGAGTGGTGTGTTAAAAGCAGTTTTCCATTCGTCCCCCTCCTTGATTCTGACGAGGTGGTATGCGTTACGAAGATCCAGCTTTGAGAACACTGTAGCATGATGCAGGGGGCCAAAAGCGGAATCGATCAGGGGGAGCGGGTACTTGTTTTTAACAGTAATGTCATTAAGGCCCCTGAAGTCAATACACGGCCGCAAGGTCTTATCTTTCTTTTCCACAAAAAAGAAACCCGCCCCCACCGGCGAGGCGGAGGGGCGAATGAGGCCCGACGCTAATGAGTCTGTAATGTACTGCTCCATGGATTCTCTTTCGGGTTTAGATAAATTGTACAGTTTCCTGGAGGGAAGGGGGGAGCCGGGGAGTAACTCAATGGAGCAGTCATAAGGACGGTGAGGAGGGAGAGACAGTGCACGGTCCTTGCTGAAAACCTCCTGGAGGTCGTGATAGGCGGAGGGGACGTTGGACAAATCAATGGTCTCAGACGGGCTTGGCAGTGAGGGGGTACGGAAAGGGATAGCCGAATGTAGACAATGGGAATGACAGAAAATGCTCCAATTGGTGATGGTCGAGTTAGACCAGTCAATATGGGGGTTGTGCAATCTTAACCAGGGGAGACCTAGGACCAGAGGGCAGGTGGGCGAGGGAATGACAAAAAAAGATATGATCTCCTGATGGTTACCAGAGAGCTGGAGGGAAATAGGAGCAGTACGGTGAGTAACATGAGCGAGTAACTGACCATTCAAAGCAAAAACGTCTTTGGGCACAGAGAGAGTCTCCGTTGGCAGGTTAGCTTGAGTACATAGTTCGGAGTCAATAAAATTATCATCTGCCCCACAATCAACAAAAACCTGTAATGGCAAGGAGTTCTGGGCGTACCGGAGAATGCCGGGGAGAAGAATGCGGTTGGAGGGTGTGGAGGGGGATGTGGTTCGGCTCACCAGCGTCCCTCCGGTGGCTGATGGGCCTGCCCTTTTGGCAGCTGAGGGCAGGTGGCGAGGAAGTGTCCGGGCTGCCCACAGTAGATGCACAGCCTGTTCCGGACTCTGCGCTCCCGCTCGGCCAGGGACAGTTTCATCCTTCCCAACTGCATGGGTTCTTCACGACTGGGGGTGGAAGAAAAATGGGGTCCTGGAGCTGCTGCAGGAACGGTGGCCGGAGATGGCTGTAGGAATTCGGCCGGAGACGGTGAGTTCAGCAAGGAGGGGAGGGGGTTTCCCTGTCTGCCTAGCCTCTCCCTACGTCTCTCTCGTAGCCGGTTATCCAGCCGTATAGCTAAGGAGATCAAATCGTCCAGAGACTGGGTCTCATCACGTGCGGCCAATTCGTCCTTAACACTGTCAGCTAACCCCTTTAGAAAAACACTTTGTAGTGCAGCCTCGTCCCAATTACTCTCCGCTGCTAAGATGCGGAAATCAATAGCGTAGTGAGAGACTGACGCCGAACCCTGGCGGAGGGAAAGGAGCCGGTTACCGGCTTCTTTACCCTGCACCGGGTGATCGAATACTTTGCGCATCTCAGACACGAAAGCTAGGTAGGAGTTAGTAACTGCAGAATCCCTGGTTGAGATGGCTAGCGCCCAAGAAGAGGCCCGGCCAGACAATAAACTCATAATAAAAGCTATCTTAGATTTATCAGCAGCATAGGTCACAGATTGTTGATCGAAGACTAGAGAACACTGGTGTAAAAACTGACCGCATGTCCCTAACTCACCCGAATACCTGTCTGGGGTGGGGATGTGAGGTTCACGGACAGGGCTGGGAAGCGGGGCTGAGGGCGCTGCTGCTGCCGCGGCCGAAACCAGTGGATCTCCGGTGGGGGCCAACGAGGGGATCCGGGTGACTACTTGATCCAGACGACTACTGAGCTGGGTGACCCCGGAGGAGAGTTTCTGGAGCGTTTCCATGATTTCGTGGATTACTTGCTCGTGTTGTCCAACTCGGGTGCCTTGCATGGATAATGCCTGCCGTAGTTTGTCGGTCTCTGCGGGGTCCATGACTGGCCAGAGTATTCTGTCACGGTGCGGTTCTCGGTGGACCCCAAAATGCAGAGACAGGAGACAAGATGGTCTTCAAAAGGTTTAATCCTCACAGCAGGATACACAAAAACACAAGGCGCTGGAAACGGAGGAGACGACGGAGGTTGAGCTGGCTGGGCTGGCGTAGAGCACGGGAGAAGAGAGCCGGGAGCCACGAGTTGCAGCGGGTACAAGCGGGAATACTCTGGCACCGGAGTGACGAGCAGAGCCTGTCTTTATGGCACAAGTGATTAGGTGGGATGGGAACCAGGTGTGTCTCGTTCAGCACCAACCTCGCCCTCCGCCGTCTCCTACTGCCAGGGAAATGGAAGAACACAAAACAACAAGTATCAAAAATCACACCACGACAGACAGCCTGTTATAACTGATCTTACAAATTGGTCTGTGCCCATTTTAACAAACACATTATTCTATATGATACTGGTTAGGTCCTACACTACGTTGTTGTATTATAGGGCCTAACAACACCCCCGAACTGTTACATTATTGGGCAATAAAGTACAGCCTCTCGTACCTTATTGCTTAATTATTCATCTCCAAGGTGGACTTAGTGTAGGAAAAGTTAAGTTCTTAGTCA